ATACTGATCGATTTGTACTGCTTCCTATACACTTTTATGCTCCAGACTTTTACTGGTTTCCAGTTCCTAGTTTATACAATAGTTAAGAGCAACTGAATATAGCTTTTTCTTAACATCTTTAATAGTAAATACGTAATTTTCAAAATGATATGATGATTTCTCTAAACTTGTTCAAAAAGTTTTTTATTTATATTAGCTTTAAATTAAAGAAGCAAAAACTACATATTATAATCTGGTTTTGAAGATTAGTGTATAGATACTGCTAAGAATAATCTAGTAGCAGTAATATTTTACATAGTCTTTCCATTAGATATTGCCAAGTTGCCTAGACAGATCCGGTATTGTGAATTGAGATAGCAAGTAGAAATAAGAAATAAGTGCAGCCAGAAGCCATAAAGAATTATTCTAAAAATACTCTCTATAAAATAATCAAAATTTAATAAATTTTTAAAACTACATACTTAATAGATTATATAAATATATTTTTTATAGTGTATAACAAATTTACAAAATAGTTGATTAATTTCTAATAACTCTGCTATATTAATTTTATACTTAAGACAAAGTTTTACTGCACAAATTTCACCCAACTATTTAAATATCTAATAATATAAAAAGTATTAATAATTTTTTTAAAATACTAATATTCATTATTGACAAGTATACCATTCTAAAAGATTGCCTTGCAATAATAAAATCAAATATAATATGATCCAATTTAACTAATGTTTAGCTTTAAATGCTCCAGAATGCCAATAAATATCAATAGAAGGATGGCTAAAACTTAAAGGCATATTTTTTTTGTTTTTATCTATTACTTTTCCAATCTTTGTCTACACACTATTAGTAGTAGTATACTCAGAATTTGATACCTGATTATCTTTAAAAAACAAACTAAACCAATATTGAAGCATTGCTAGAGCAATATTTTCAAATAAACTGTGCATAATATCAACAGAAAATGAATTAGAAAACTTAATTGACTTAAGTTCAAATAAGATACTTCAACTATTAATATCTAAAAAATAGATAAACTAATATATGATTTAAAATATAAATAAATACTCAAATTAATACTCTACCTCTTTCTTGAACTTCATGTTTATGCAATGATCTATTTAAATATTCTATAGCAGTAATATAATCCTTATACATCCATAATAGAAGATTTTTGAGATCATATTGATATCCTAATATACCATTTGAAGGCTTAAGTAGAAAATAAATATGCTGATTTTCTTTACAATATATCATGAATAAAACAAAACTGACAAGCTTTATAAGAATTATGTCTATACATATAACTTTGGTAAGTGCTAGAATATTACCCAACCAACTTAGAATATGAGCACAAAGAATAAAGTTTTCTTCTGTTGCACTATCAATACATTAAATATCTTCTGTATTTATTATTACAAAATTCAATAAATATAATATTTGATATAAGCAGAGGTTATCTAAAGCCAGATAGTTTTTAAATTAATTATTAACAAATTCTGAACTAAAAATCACATAATATATACAAATTACTATATCTGGCTTTAGATAATCTATTAAAATAAATTAATAATACCTTGTAGTTGTTTTAGTTCATCTACTAGTGGTTGCAAAAAAGTATTAAAGTTTTTTGGTGCCTTTGGTCCCAGAATTAATACAAAGATTATTAAGTTTTTATATTGAACATGTACATCAAACAGAAAATTTGCATTTATAAAAAGAATAACTCTTGTTTTTGGTGAAATATTTGATACCTATTAGTAGATGCTATTAAAGCAATATCTTGATAATCTAAAAAAAGCCCAGAAAAAACTAAAGATTTATATTGAAGACCATCAAAGATATTAGCTATTTGGTTACCAATTACATATTCATGTATTGTGATATAGGTATGCTAGTAACAAAGAGCTTTAGCTTAAGTTTTGTTTCTATATTGCATCTGAAGTAAGCTTACAAATAACTAGTAGACAGCACTTTTTCTAGATTTCCCTGATGTTTTGCCAAATTTATAGCGAGGCTTATTATATTCTGGACAGTATTTCATATTAATAAATTCATTTATAAATACTATATATAAATTAATATAGCAATCTACAAGTGTTAGTTTAAAAGGTACAAGATTTTCAAGAAGTATTTGTAGTTTGTAAAGCATAATTTCAGAAATCTCTAAGATTTTGAAAATTTTATTAAATGCTATATCTGAGATATTATATTGGTTTTTGATTCGAAAAAGTTGCAAGCCTTTGAATAAATTTTCTGAAATAATCTTAATATATAATATGATAATATCAAAAAATTTTATATATTTTTAATAATAAGCTTACTGATATTAAATTCTTCACTAAATTCCTCACTGCACTCCTCGTTATATCCTTCATTATATTCCTTATTATCATATCCATAATTGTCATATTTCTTATTATACTCATTGTTTTCTTCTTTACTATCTTTATAGTATTTATTATTATATTTATTATTATATTTCTCATTATATTTACTATTATACTTCTTATCATATTCATTATTATACTTATTATCATCCATATTACACACTCCATAATTTATTTTACTCTCTAATATTTTACCATTATTGCTAAATAAGTTATTCAATTTTATATTAACACAATTTTAATTTTTTTTAACTTGATTAGTACATGATAATATTACTGCTAGAACAGCAAATGATATTAATACAATCATTGAAGAAATTTGAGAAATAGAAGTAACTAAATATCTTTTTTGAGCTAGAATTTGTACTAGATTAGGCCAAGTATTTTTTTGTTTTAGTGAATATCTTGCACAAATTTATTTACTAACTAATTTGCCCTGACTATTTGATTCTTGTAGGCACCAAATATATATACAAAGAACTTTATTATCCATATTATATTATTGAGAATATTTAAAAAACAAATAAAAAAAGTTTTACTTTCATATCTTATAAATATGTATTTATTTAATTTTATTATACTTTTGATTATCAAAATATTAATGACAAATAAATTAATATACTTAAAAATTAATATATAAATAATTAATATATAAATGATCAAGTAAATAAGTCTTTTCTTTATTTTTTATTTGCAAATATAAAATAATAATAATATACATATAAGTTTACTATCTTTAATATTAGAAATGTTATATAATAATACCTTAATTAATATTCATATACTTAATTCTGAACAGCATCATCAGTTTTTTCTTGAATTGTTTGATATAGATTCATTTTTAATTAATGTACTAAATTTTAAGCAATGTGTCAATTATATTCTGTACTAATTGCCATCAACACTTCTCTTACAGAATCACTTTTAGATACATGTAGTGCAGTGCGTGGAATAATTAATAAACAAGTAAAAATTTTTTTTACTATTGTTTTATTTGATAATCAAATATATACTAAATAAATTTTTTAGATTTCAAAAGGGTCAGCAATAAACCCGATTACATTTAATAAATATGAAAATTATAAGGAAGCACAAAAAAAAGTTAAAAAGGATATGCAGTAGTATGAGTTTTTAAAACTTGATAAAAAACAATATCTAAACTACAAAGTAAGTTGTAGTTATTATTGTTATTCTTTAAACTATATTCCAGGCAAATTTGCCTGAAATTTTAAAAAATATTTATAATTTTTTAAATAAAATTAAAAATTATTAATAATATAGAGTATATTTTATATATATAATATTTTATTTGAAACATAATCCATAAGCTTTATTATAAATTTTTTTTAATTTTACTAGAAATCTTTAGAGTAATAGAAATTTAAAGCTTTTGCTTTAAAAATTTTTACTATAAAATTATTCTTTAAATTTTCTAAATTTTTATATGTTTTTGTCTTTAAAAAAAATTTTGCTTCTAATACAAGTCTTAAGGTATAAACTAGGAACTGGAAACCAGTAAAAGTCTGGAGCATAAAAGTGTATAGGAAGCAGTACAAATCGATCAGTAT